CTTGAGCTGCATCAACCCCCCCCAGGGGGACCAGCTGCCCCACACCCACCAAGGTCACTTGCCTGCTTGTGGGCTGCTCCTCCAGCGACACTGCTCCTGGTTCTCCTGGCAACAGCAGGCTCACTATGCCGTCCACCACCGCCAGGGGCCGCCCTCTCGGCGGACGGCCCCGTGACCAGCAGTCCTGGGCTCCCCCTGCCAGTCACAGCAGAGCACGTGCCTTGCCCAGCTTCCCCCGACTGGGGAGCCGCACTGCCGTCAGTCTGGCCATGCTCACCAGGGGGCAGAGCACCGTCCCCACGTCCCATGCGTGGGCCTCTGACCTTGCGGCTCTGATCCGCCACCTTCTCACCGACTCCGCCGGCGGGCATGACGACCCGGCCCAGGCTAAGCCTCTGTGGCAGTCTCCTCACCCGCGCCAGGCAGCCGGTCCCGCCGCCATTCCAGATTCCAGCCAGGGCCGATCCCAGGCGCTCCTGTACCCATGCTGCTCCACGATCCCGTGCCACCGCTCTCACTTCAGCCAGGAACTGCTCCATTGGATCCATCCTCTGGGCCTTGAACCTGCAGCAAAAGAAAGCAGAAAAACCTACCAGGCTCAAGCTGCAGGCTGAAATTGCAACCAATTTAGGCCAGGTAAGCAGATTAAAAGTGCCTACTTCTAAAATGGTTGCCTATTTATACTGGGCCAACCCCTTAACACTCAAACTCCACTCCCAAAAGGAGGCCTCCCCCCTATGCCCTCCTAGCTTTGTCAAGCCCCTTTCCACTAAGTTGTGCTTGTTCCGTAGGGTTACATTATGCTTGTCTATGTTACTCCCTAGTTGGTTAGACTTGCACTGTGCAGTGGACACTAAGCCCATACAGGAAGGACTTTAGCAGCATTCCCTGCATGATCCTGAAGGCTAAGGGCAGGCCAGACAGCCTGTCAGTGGGAAGGCCCTATTCTCTTCTGGGCAAATCCGGCCATTGTGGCCTTCACTACTCCCTCAGCCAAATTTTCCCCTCCCTCTTGTTGGGTCGTATGGAGGAGGATGACACTATATCAGTGATGGCGAACCTATGGCACGCGTGCCACAGGTGGCACGCCGGGCCCTTTCTGTGGGCACGCGGCCACAGGTTCGCCATCAATGCAGAGTAGGCGCCTGCCCGAAACGGCAGGCACCTACTCTGCTTCCGGGTCGGGAGGCAGGGGGAGGGCTCCAGGAAGCAGCTCCCCTGTCCTCCCACGCGATGCTGTGTGGAGCGTTGCCGCGCGTTACCATGGCAACGCTCCACACAGCATGGGAGGACAGGGGAGCTGCTTCCTGGAGCCCTCCCCCTGCAGTGCTTACCACCACCGGACCACCAGGGATCGCTGTGTCCCCCCCTCCCCCCACTTCATTAAAGGTAAGAAGGAGGGAGGGGGGGGTATACTGACACAGCACCCATACCCCCCCAGCAGTAACCCCTACCCTCCCCAGCAGAACCCCTACCCCCAGCAGTAACCCTTACCCCCCCAGCAGTAACCCCTACCCTCCCCAGCAGTAACCCATACCCTCCCCAGCAGTAACCCTACCCTCCCAGCTGGTAACCCCTACCCTCCCAGCAGTACCCCTACTAGCAGTAGCCCCTACCCTCCCCAGCAGTACCCCCCTACCCCCAGCGGTAACCCTACCCACTCCCCAGCAGTAACCCCTAACCCCCCAGCAGTAACCCTTACCCTCCCAGCGGTAACCCCTAACCCCCAGCAGTGCCCCTAACCCCCAGCAGTAACCCCTAACCCCCCAGCAGTACCCTAACCCCAGCCAATTTCCCCATACACAGTACCCCACACCCCCAGCAGTGCCCTAACCCCAGCAGTGCCCTACCCCCCCACCGCACAGTGCCCTTACCCCAGCAGTACCCCTACCCCCACACACAGTGCCCTACCCCTGTGGTACCCCTAACCCCAGCAGTGCCCTACCCCCCCCCTCACACAGTACCCCTACCCCCCACACACAGAACCCCTACCCCCCGCAGCACCCTTACACATATAGCACACACACAAGGCACCCACACACACACAGCACCCCCCACATACAACACTCACACACACACGCACCCCCCACCTCAATGCAGTATGTGTGTATTCAGCAGTGTGTGTGTGTGCGTGTATTCAGCAGTGTGTGTGCGTGTATTCAGCGGACTGTGTGTGTTTGCGTGTATTCAGCGGACTGTGTGTGTTTGCGTGTATTCAGCGGACTGTGTGTGTTTGCGTGTATTCAGTGGACTGTGTGTGTGTACTCAGCAGTCTGTGTGTACTCAGCAGTCTGTGTGTGTATTCAGCAGTCTGTGTGTGTGTATTCAGCAGTGTGTGTGTGTGTACTCAGCAGTGTGTGTGTGTACTCAGCAGTGTGTGTGTGTGTACTCAGCAGTCTGTGTGTGTGTGTGTGTGTGTGTGTACTCAGCACTGTGTGTGTGTGTACTCAGCAGTCTGTGTGTGTGTACTCGGCAGTCTTTGTGTGTGTACCCACCAGTCTGTCTGTATGTGTACTCAGCAGTGTGTGTGTGTATTCATCAGTCTCTGTATTCAGCAGTCTTGTGTGTGTGTGTATTCAGCAGACTGTGTGTATGTATTCAGCAGTCTGTGTGTGTATGTATTGCATTTGTTGGAGATACTAATAAATATAAGCTTAATTTTATCTATTTATATCATTATTTAAAATTTGTATCATTGAACTCTCTGTGTTCTTTTAAAACAAAAGTTATTATTGGGTTTAATTGCCGTGTTGGCACTTTAAGGAGAAAAAATGTTGGCATGTATTGCGGTTTGGGCACTCGGGCTCAAAAAGGTTCGCCATCACTGCACTATATGAATAGTGTCTCCAAGCAAGTCGAATTCTTTCACAACAAGCAGGCAGAGCAGAGGTGGGTTTTACAGTAATGTAACACCCACAAAGTTCACTACTTGTGGGGGAGGGGAATTTAAGTAAAAGTGAACCCGTCATGACTGTTAGGACTGCCTTTATATTTCTCTTGTACGGTTTAAATGAGCATTTGCTGTTGAACTTCACTTCTAAAAATGTTAAATATTGGGAGAGTGGAGTGTGGCCAATAAAGTCAGAGGTTTTAACTGATACCAACTTAAATTATTCTGTTGTTAATAATGTTGTGTTTATGTATTACACATTTCCAAAAGAACTGATAAATGTAAAAAAATATTTGAATGACATATTTTTACTTATTGGTATTGAACCACACTGTAAGCTGTACTTTAAATAAAGTTGCTAAAAACTGTCAGATCTATTTAGTCTGTAGGTTAAAAAACAAAGTGGGGGCTCTTTTAAGAACACGGAGATGTGGAGAGAAAATTACAAACACATCTCCTAACTTCAGTGTCCTGTGAATTGTGATGCTGCTGAGAAGGGGGATGTGATCGTGTCAGTTTGGTTGAAAGGGCTGGTTCCATCTAGAAAGAGGGCAAGTCTGCCAGAATGATTGGCAGGTTAGAGAAAAAGATATATGAGGGCTGCGCCAAACGTCCAGTGAAGTATTACTAGGAAACCAGTGGATCGTCGGGGATACTGGATAAGGTTTCTTAGTAGAGGTAGGTGCATCTGGTGTTGACCGTTCAGTATATGAAAATACAAAAGAGGTAGATGCGACCAATGGTATAGTATGTAAAATTCAAGGTGCGGTAGGTAACAAAAGTAAAGAACTCACATTCAGGAGAGCTATGGCCAGCTCTAGTGTGTGAATCGTGTACAGTGGTATAATACCCGCTTATGGGATATGTAGGGGAGGGCTCTCCGTCGACACCGTCTGGTAATCCAAAACTCGGAAGAAGAGATAGAGGCAACAATAGTGCTCTCAATTGTGATATAGTTAAATGTGCAATAGATAGAAAAAGAAACTCACATTTGAGGGAGCTATGGACAGCTCTGGTGTGGATAGCGTACAGCGGTATAATCCTCGCTTATGGGATATGTAGCGGTAGTAGATCCGTCGGCACCGTCTGGTAGTCCAAAGCTCCAAGAGAAAGGGATAAAAAGCAGCAATAGTGCTCTCAATTGTGATGGGATACAAGAATAAAATGACAGATAAAATAATACTCACAAAGATAGAGCAGAGGTACTGCTCTATGGATTTGCGTTGGTGGTATGATCCCCACCTAGGATTTCTTGGAGTACTGGAACAATAAAATTGGTGTGTGTTTTTTATAGGGCAGGGCAGCTGTAACCAACACTTCCAATCTCATCTCATTGATTGGACTCCAGTTGGCTGACATCTCACTCCAATTAGCTCTTGGAGATGTCATTAGTCTAGGGGTTCACATACTTTTTCCACCTGCATTGTGAATGTTTTCATGGTGTGTTCAATAAAAACATGGCAACATTTCATTCTTTGTGTGTTATTAGTTTAAGCAGACTGTGATTGTCTATTGTTGTGACTTAGATGATGATCAGATCACATTTTATGACCAATTTGTGCAGAAATCCATATCATTCCAAAGGGTTCACATACTTTTTCTTGCAACTGTATATAGATCAGCTCAATTATATGCCATTTAGGATGTACAAGACTTGTTTCTGTTTATGCAGCTCTTGTCATGCCACACCTGGCTCTGAATCAACAGTTTCCATAAAATGGTTTTATTTTCAATCAGGAGTGATAGCAAAGTGTGTTTATTTTAGACGTGTCTCCTGTTCTGTTAAATAAACTTGAATTGCACGCACAAGGCTCCTGTAGGAAATAAACAGAACAGGAGAAGAGAAAATAAATGCAAAATTAGAGAGACTGTGCAACAAAGTATGTTTTTTAAACATTAGCTCTCTTTTTACAGAAAATGTGTAGCCAGACTATGTAGCTCTAGTCACATCGTCCCTGCATGTAACCAGCACAAAGTGATTTAACTGCTAAGTATCAGAGAACTAAGCAGTTAGATTGCATGGGGTATGAATAAAGTGTCCCTTTATGGCCATAATGATTTAGTTTCAGATTTGTGTACATAATCATTTGCAGACCCCACCCCCCCACCTACCCCCCTCCTAAACATGACTGTACCATGAAGCAGGACACAGTTCATGAGTGTGAATTATGTCACTAGCACTACCAAAAGGAGCAGATTCACCTGGAATGGGGGCTAGTCCTCCCAAAGAACTGCCAGTTTAACATGGCATGAATACATGTCAATCAGACCAACCCACCAAGGGCTGGCAATGCAGGAAGCATTGATTAGGTGTTATCTGCAAACGTAGTGCTCTGAGCATAGCACAAGTGCCTAATGATGTGATTCCAGGTGTCCCCAAAAGCACGAAACCAGCGAACAAAGATGGGATGGTGGACAGAACCCTAAAATAGGAACTGACCCTCTAAAATCTGAACAGTTGGGAGGCTTGTATTTTGTTAATTTTATATTCACTAATTAAGTAACAACAGTGCTTAGGTACAACATTCTGCTATATAATATGAACCAGCATCTTTCCACATTTCCTTTCTATGTTCAACTGAGTAAAAACATAAAGCATTAAGATTTCTTTATTTGTTGAACTAGATTTCCATTAGCACAGAAATACCTTTTCATCTGTTAGTATCTGTTACTAATACAAATCCATCAGTTGTGGTGTATAGTTTTTGACAACTAATTAGAGCTTAAAACGTTTCTAGAGTAGTTTTTCAACCAGAGTTTATTAGTAGATGTAGCCAACAATGACATTGTCTGTGTCTCTGTATTATTGGTTACCTTAGCATAAATGTAGTGTGTATGTCCATTTAATGTTTTAAAAATGCGTATTGAAAAACTGGTCTACTCACAGTCATTAAAATTCCAAGTACTGTGAAATGGTTCTTTGCTAAAAGTCACTGTAACAGTAACATTTACCTTTGTTAAAAGTCACCCTTCTGGTTTTTGTGTTTTGTGCTGATGTAACCATCACAACAGTGAGCAGCACAGAGCCCAGGCATCAAATGAACTACAAAGATGCATTATTAATGAGCCTCAGTTTAACATGGTATTTTATGACAACACAAGAAAGCTGTAAACTCATGCTTAGCAAAACAACAATTAAAATGTTTTTTTTCAAGAAAAGGCAAAAGGCAGTGAAACAATTATACATTTGAAAAGAATAAACTTAACAGTTTAGCTAGATTAACTATAATGTAGACTTTACATTAATAAGAAATAAATAAATAATATATATATATATATATAACACACACCACCCCACAAGTGGGATAAATGCTGAATATGGATTCATTTTATATCTTGTCATATTTTGTACTGAAAACCTCACAATTTAAATTTAAAATATATAGATATTTTGTGAACTTGCCAGGCTTCCTGTTGTAGCCAATAGTTACATAACTTAAAATGGCACTTTCACCATCTGGGGACTTTGCTGAATTCGCAAAGTCCGGCGACAGTTATATCCACGCTGGGGGTCCGATGTCCGAGGGGGGGAGCAGGTAAAGGTGTGATGACATGGTGATGCAATTTTGATAAAGGCAGTTTTGCTGAAATTTGGGATTTGATTTGCTTTTTGCTCTGGCATTCTTCCCCTCTCACACCATTATCTTGAGTTATCTGATTTTTCTTTGGTATGTATTTGGACTGTTTTTTTTTGTTTGTTTTTACTGTATACTTGCATTTTGTTATGACTTTTATAGTTTTGGTTATTTAGATATATGATTTGTTTTCATTGTGTAACGGATCACCTGGCACCCCGACTGGGTACCTCCATTGATGGATGCTCCTAGCGTTTCCTGAGGACTCCAAGCACTCTGGCAGACACCACAATCACAGAACCGGAGAAGCATCTATCTTCTCTCAAGCATATGAATGCTATAAACAGCTGTAAGCAAAAACCATACGGATGGGTTTAGGATCCTAGCAGTCAAACTGGAACAGCATACAATAAATCCTTCCCCAATAATTAGACAACACTTCACTTTGAGGGTTAAGCAGGAACTGCAGGTTTATTCACACCACCTCCTTTTAAGACATTCTCCCATGCAAGGGAGGGGTTTACAATAATTAGTACAACAGCCAATCCCATACCTGTTACCTCCCACACATCTCCTCTCCTTAGATTAACACTTAACATAATTATACAGTACACACTTTTTCCCAATTCTTGGATGTACCCCAAATATGGGGGGTACACCTTTAAATGTTACATCCCCTGGTAGCCCTGATCTGGGTGAGACACATATCCAAAAATCACCCAGATTGGACCAGGGGTTCGGGAATTATGGAGGGTTAAAGTTGTGACCGACTGCATGGCAAAAGTATCCGAAAATAGTTCCATGTATTTTGGCTCTGCAGTCGGTCACAGAAAAGGGAATGAAACCACACGAATTGCCTGGGTTATAAAGCCTGGGGAGGGTTTAAGCGAATGCCCTTGTTCGTGGGGTCCTCTCTACCGAACGGCGGGCAGTTCGGTAGTTTCTACACGAATTGCTGGAAGTCTGGAGGTCTCAGCGGTGGTTGCCTAGTCGAGTGTCCGATTTTAGTTCCAGATACTCGATGGCAAAACACCGCTGTTCGGGAATTTAAGATGGCGGCCGCCACGTGTTCGTTTCCCGAATGGCGGCTACCCAGAGGACAAAGAACACATTACACAGATTGACAATTACCCGCTTGCAACAATGTTGCAAATGGGTAATTGGAGGCACACATATTCCCGGGTGGTCTGGCTGTTCGGTAGTTTCACTCAATATAATGAATGGAGTGATTCTACCGAACAATCAGTTGAATGCTGCATACACATATACAATTTAGCCGAACACACAGAAACATCCATAATATAAAAGACATCCTTCCTGTAATCTGCTACCAAGTCTTAAAGGGGTATTGTTCCTAAAAGTCATAATACGTCCCCGGATGGCCCTTAAAGGGCCAGTAGCAGCAATATACAATATCACATGCCCAAATATTGCATTAAAAGTACTAATTTACCAAGGGCCATAGTCAGCAGGTAGGAGGCGGGAAGCCAGGCCTCTCCAATGTCCAGTGGCGAGGTTGGTTCCACCACATATTGTGTTTGTTATTATAGCTTTTCTTTTTAGACCCTTTGGTATCATTGTGTATATATGTGATTACTTTCATTTATGTATAGCTTTGTATTTGTTGTCACTTCATTTAGTTTGATAAATGGATTATGTATTCATGTGTATATTAACGTATTGATGTGTATTCATCTAATAAAATGTGGTTACTTTTTATGGGCTGTGCTATTTATTCATTCTTTACTGGTTGCATTTACAGACTCTATTAGGAATAGAGAAATTAAGAGAGCACCCAGTTTTTTTAGTATTCAGGCTACATATAGTTTTCCTTTTCTTGTTCAAAGTGTGCCCTCCTGGTTAATTACCCTTTTCTAAAGGTGAAATTTCTTACCTGAACCTGTAGGGCGTGCTTTAAGGACCTGGTCAATGCCTGTTACAGGGGCCCAGGATGGGGCTGGCCAGACACCTTAGGGCACTCTCGAAAAGGGGGGAAGAATGGAGGCATCCAACAGAGGTTACAATGGTGCTCTGATGATCTGTTTCCTGTTCTTCTCTGCTCCTTCGAGCGCCCTATGTAGTGATGCTAGGATCTGAAATATGACATAAATATGACCCCGGCATCACTACAGAGGGTGCGCAAAAGAACAGAAAGAAAATGGAAGGTCCATTCCTTACTGGACCACATTGAAGAAAATCCCCACTGGACCCTAGGGAAGAAGATCCCTACTAAACCCAATGGGAAGAAAATCCACACTAGATCCCAGGGAAGAATATCCACACTGGACTCCAGACAGAGGACCAACGCCAGCTCTTCTAAAGGTAGGGAGGCTGGATGAGCCTGAAGAAAATAAATAAAACAAGAAATAAGTTTAATTTGTGTTTGCAATAATATGTAAATGAGTGTGTCTGTCAGTGAATGTTTCAAATATGTGAGATTGTGTGTCAAACCCTAAGGAGACAGACCAAAGGGCTAGCAGGGAACATTTACATGTGTGAATGGGGGGGGGCGGGAGAGTGTAGTAAGTTCACAGAAAGGAGGTCCTGTAAGAGTGGGGAGGGGCGGCCACATATATATATATATATATATATATATAGGGGGAGCCCTTTCCTGTATCCCTCAGCCATCTTAATTATCCGGCTTGGGAACAGCTTCCTGTCCACCCTCCCTTTGTTACATTTCAATGTTGGTGTTTGTGCCAATTTTGTTTTCTTGTCACAGCAGGCGGAGGAAGTTCTTTGCCAGTGAGGGTTGGACCAGCAGTCCAGTGGAAAGATTCAGGGCCGATCCCTCCCCTAGCTTTGGGTTTCAGTTATGGTACAGGATGTGCCCACTGAGTCCAAAGCCAGTGGTTAGCATGGATGGTATTTTTGCTATAATTGTGTCAGCTGATTTTGCTCTATGTGTAAGAAGCATTTACGGAATTATGTGTATATCATCACTTATTGCACTACATTCACTGTTTCTGCCCAAGTTGGGTTATTAACATGCTTGCCCAAATACAGTCAACAAGCTACCAATATTATCTTTTGGATAAATGAAAGATCAATTTGTTTTATGGATTAAAATTCTATTTAATGTTGTGAGGGTGGGACTGAAGCATCGTGGCAAAGTATATCTGGAAAATCCTTCTTGAAAAATGTAATTGTGTGTACCCTTGTCTGAGTATTTAGCCTCTATTGCTTTTATAGACTGTCTGACAGACCACAATGGTCGTTAGCAGAGTGGTTTATCTGCCTGAATGGCTGACTTTACAGTAATACTGTTGTTTAATTACTAATACTACATTATCACAGTAATACTGTAATTTTGTGTTATAAACCATGAAAGAGGGTCTGCACTGTACCAAAATTATCTAAAAAAAAAATTTCAGGTTTATACTCGCACAAAGATTTAATGCTTACAAAATGTTCGATTGGGGAAAAATTTTGTACAAAAGAAAATTTCTGTGCATACCACCTAGGAAAAATTTATGGAAATATTGGCCAGGGGCCAACACCACTGCTGTACTCTTGCATGTGCACAAGAGTAGAGCATTGAGGTCTGCGGGGGCTCCTTATAGACAAAGCCAATTCTTTGCAGCTATCACTTTGTGGCAAAGTATATAGGCACCAAGCTAGATGATTCTATCATTTTTCCAGGGGGAGGGGTAAGGGTGACAGTGCTGTTTTAAAATAAATAAACATTTCGTGTGAATTTTTAGATGGAATATGTTATACTGCAAAAGCGAAACAAGTAAGACCTAACAAGTGGTCTCAGCCATACATGGTTGGAATGGGTGAGTGTGGTAAAAATGTATCTCCTACTCAATTCTTGTATCTTTTCCAGACAGCATTGAGTATGGTGCTCCTAGGGTACATATGGCAATGGGCAGATCTTGACAGAAACACTTCCAACTAACCCTGCCTAAGTTGTTGGAAGGCCTTGTGGAAATGGGTGTTTAAGATTACGAACATACGAGCCACCTCTTATGAGCAAAGGAAGGAGAACAGAAAATCGAAAAATCTATTGAAATTGTGCAAACTGGAATGCCGTTACCTACACTGTTGTGGCTCCTGCATTCTCCCTGTAGGAGACTGGCATGTGCCCAACCTTTCATAAAAGCCACACTAGAGGTCTGGTGCTCTATAGCTAATAAATACGACTTGTCATCTTCCCCATTCACTCTCATCTCCCAACATTAAATCCAGAGCTCCCTCAAGGATTAGATCCAAGGACATATAGAGAAATAGCAGACTCTACAGTCCCATAGATAAGGCATGAATCACCTCCCTGACTGTTCTAAAGGGAATGCACCTTTAATGGCTTAATAATAACAAAAATTACGAGGCCTAATTTTACCACGATAATCAACACTTACCCCAAATTCTTCAATCCTTGCTGGATCCCCAAGCAGCCCACACAGTTATGGCTTTGAAGACCAAAAAGCAGAAGGCAGACAAGCCAAGACTGGACATGAACATAGGCGATCTGTGGCGGCAGGCGCATGGTCCAACAAAACCAAAGATGGCCTCTTACCTCGAAGAGAGCTCCAACTTCTCAGATGACCAAACCCTGGGACCCAAGAATCTACACTGACTTTGGCACCACCTACATCCACATCAGAATTACCGCCAGTGACT